TGTTTATTGATATAATATATCTGCTTGAATGTAACAAACTGTGTATATTTTTCTTATATAGTATTCAGTTTTGAAATTCCATTTCAGCTTTCCATATTTTTATTATTAATTTTTTAGAGACAGGGTCTTTCTCTGTCAACCAGGACAGGCTGCAGTGGTACAATCATAATTTCCTGTAACCACTCATTGTAATCTCAAATTCCTAGCCTCAGATGTTCCTCTTGTCTGGGCCTCCTAAAGTGCTGAGATTACAGGCATGATATTCTTGTTGTATCTGGCTCTGTATTTTCCATAAAAGTTATAAATGACAAATTTTGGATAACTCATGTACTAAATTTGCATTTATAATTAAATAGGATTTAATGAAAGATCTCAAATCAGAGTTAAGTGGAAATATGGAAGAATTAATCCTTGCCCTGTTCATGCCGTCTACATATTATGATGCCTGGAGTTTACGGAATGCAATGCAGGTACTACATGTTATTTCTTGTATTTAATTCTATTTTGTATGTAAAACCCCACAAATGGTTGTAGTTCTGAATTTATGGTGAAAAGGAATACATTATTTCACATCATTTGAATATACAGTTTCTCCATTTGTAGAGAACAAAGAAATGTTTGATGAAACAGTAAGATTTAATTACTTTCAGCAATTTTGTTTTTCTTTTGTGTAACTCTCCCTCCATTTTATATAGGGAGCAGGAACTCAGGAACGTGTATTGATTGAGATTTTGTGCACAAGAACAAATCAGGAAATCCGAGAAATCGTCAGATGTTATCAGTCAGAGTTCGGACGAGACCTTGAAAAAGACATTAGGTCAGATACATCAGGGCATTTTGAACGTCTACTTGTATCTATGTGCCAGGTGAGTATAGCATGAATTTATGTGTGTTAGTGAAGGGAACATACTTTATTGCCTATTGCCAGTGAACATTCTTTATTCCTTTTGATATTTAGCCAGTTTGGAATGTTGCATTTTTAAGAGGGCCAACACTGACTCCAGTGTACAGATGTCTTTGTAGTTACCATTGGGATTTATTTCTGAAAATCTGGCTTTTGTAGGGAATTAAAAATTAACCTCTTTGGGGGCGGTGCCGGCCCCATATGCTGGAGGTGGCGGGTTCAAACCCAGCCCCAGCCAAAAACTGCAAAAAAACAAAACCTCTTTAAGGTTTTATAGAAACAGAAGCCAACTTGAAGCAGCTCTGTGCCTGGGATGAAATGGTAAATGGTACATGTACATTTATTTATTTATGTATTCTGACTCAACTATCTCACTCTGTTACCCAGGCTAGAGTGCAGTGGTGTGGTCATAGTTCACGGCAGCCTTGAACTTCTGGGCTCAAGTGATCCTCTCAACTCAGTCTCCATGGCAGCCAGCACTGTAGGCGCATATCACGCACCTGTCTAATTTATTTATTTTATTTTATTTTGCAGTTTTTGGCCAGGGCTGGGTTTGAAACTGCTACCTCTAGCATATGGGGCCAGCACCTTACTCCTTTGAGCCACAGGTGCTGCCCTTCTTTATTTTTCTTGTAGAGAAAGGTCTTGCTATGTTTTGCCCAGGCTGGTCTCAAAACTCCTTGCCTCAAGCGATCCTCCTGTCTAGGCTTCCCAA